AGTTTTCAGTAACCTTGTGCGTAGTTTCCTTTACGAAAAGTCGACCAACCTCTTTATAAAGCGGTTCCTTAATTGACCGTGGTTTAGACATGCACTACACATCACAATTCCTATAGGAATTGTGATTTAGACTGACATGCACGATGAAAAGCCCTTCGAGATCCTTTCGTCTTGTTTGGTTTTGGGTTGCAGGCCACTACCCGGATATCTAGCTCCGGTTGGGTAAATAATGGTGTAGGTTAAGGGCGAAGACAAAGTTGGATGTTCCGGCTAAACCAATCAAAGATTCGCGCACTACTGGCTGTGTGCATTTAATCAGAAAAGTAGTCGCCTCTCCCGATTTCTTAGTTGACAGCCATCCACATTTAGTGTATTGTGATAGACAGTTTTGGAAAAATCCAACTCCATATGGATAAACAAACTGCCAATAGCAAGGGACAGTTTTTAGTCAGAAGCCTTCAGAATGAACAGTGAGTGGTCAGTGTCACTTTACAGTTTATCCGAAATCAGCAAGAAACTTGATTTACGAAAATTCTGAACAAATGTAGCACCTTTGACAGCAATCTTCAGAATTCAAGCTAAACTGTATTTGGTGACTAACTAAAAATACATCGGCAAGTTTTTTGTTCCTTTGAATGCGGCCCATAAACAGTCCCTAATTAAGGTGATTGGAGGTCCTCAAAGTTCTGTTTTTGGGCCACTGCTGATTCCGATCTACGTCAACGTCCTCCCAGTCATTATTTCAAGTCCATGTCTACTTTTTGTGGACAACTTGAAATCCTGGAGTTCCAATACCACTGCCAAACTACTGAAGACGCTGCAGAGCAGTGGTCGTTGGACTGATACCTTCCTCTGAATGATGAGTAGTGTGTCCATATGTCATTCGGAGGTGACTCAGCGAACGCCTTTGTCGTGCATGGCGGGAATGGACCAGAAAATATCACCAGAATGGATGCCAAAAAGGATATTGGTGTCTGGCTCTTTTCAAACACAACGATCTCACTGTGCCATGAGAAATCGGCTCAAAAGGCATTTGGCGCTCTACGGATGGTTCTGCGTACGGATTCGCAGATTGATACATAGGATCGATGCTTCTGTTCAAGTTTCCAGGGTCTGTTTTGTTCTTGTTATTCGGCGGCTGTCGTTCACCTGAAAGGTAGAAGCAAAAAGAGGGTGTAGCGCTACTTTTTAAGTTATCAACAACTCCCGTATTACTCACACGAACTTCCAAATACTGTAAGAGGCCCACGTCAGACCCCTTCTTGAATATGTGAACAACTAACTAAATGCGATGAATATCGGAGACAGAGAAACAGCTGTTAGGGTATTATCTACCTTTTGAGGAACATCTCAAGCTGAAACAAGATCAGACAGCCGAAATTAGAAACGAAGGGCAAAAACAACAAAAGAGGTCAAAACTAGAGACATTCTGCCTCGCATGTGAAAAAATCTGCAAAAAATGAGGAAAGAGGACAAAGAATTTGGTTGAGCAGCAGATTTGCACTGATACGGTCAGCCAATTTGAACTAAAACCTAAAACTATTGCCGAGGCTCCGTGGCCTTGGACAGTTGGGCTCATGACCAGGTTCACGAAAAGCACAAATGGGGGCCGATCCTTTTAAACACACCCCGAATATCCATAAAACCATAGTTTGAATGAAGGAATCTTGTACATAATGTTTTGACAGTATTTGTTCGAACACTTAAAATCTCCACTTGCGGCCACACTTTTGTTGTAAACTTTTAAAGCGCGTCCTAGGTCCACTATGGAGACGGAATTCATATTCTTATGGCTGCTAGTGGCCTCGCATGATGTCTCCGTAAATGCGGTGGAAAATTTTGTGGAAACACTGGTCTCTACGTGTTTTTTCTGTACTGGAATTGAAAATAATATCAAAACTACAGGAACAGTTCTTACGCCCTCTATGTCTGTGCAAACTCAGAATGGAGCAGCCATTCTTGACCTATGTGGGTAGAAGTCTTCTACCGTTACAACACTCGTCCTGCCAAACAAAGTTAAGTAATCCATTAGAAAGCTTCTTTGCTTTTATGATGGTCAGCTGTATCGGCAAGGTTTTATCTTTACCGGTATGCTGACCATTTTTCAGTGCTACTGGAAGAATTAGTGGATTTACGGGCGGAACAGGCAGGCAGCACACTAGGGCTTTGAAGTTCTGGCACAACTTCAACTGGTTAGGATGGTCGTGTAGGCGCATGTAACACGCTCGTTCGGGAAATACCGGGGATATTATGAANCAAGAAATTCATTGGATATGGCAGCTACCATTCAAACGAGGCAGTCATGTCTACATTGGAGAACCGAAATAGAAGAAAGTGTCAAAATGCCTGTTAGCTGGTACTATGGTATGAGTTGGACTGTGGGCAGCCAAAAAGGGCCCCAATATCTGCCTATTTCATTGGTGCGACAACGACGGATTTCAAAAGCGTTAATCGATATTCAGGTGTGGATAATATGTATGCGGTCGATGCGAATGGGTGTGGGTATATGTGATTATGATAAACGTACATCAGTCAAATTGTGCGTGGCTAAGGTAGCTCATTGCTCGCAAGGACAAGTGATGAGAGAGAAACGTAAGATGTCTGGTGTCATTGTGTGTCTGTGCGATGAGGTGACCTCATAATGGCGCAGTCACAGTCTATAAAAAAGCGCAGAGGCTTTGCAGAACGGGCTGCCTCTGGGGCGTCATTCCGCGGGTAGTTAGAGGGTTTTTGGTGGCATATTTTGCTCTGCTGTCAATTAATTGTTGGATTCATGGGAAGATTGCTCAAGATATGTGCTAGATCCGGCTAGATCGGGCAAGATCGGGCCAGCGGAACAGGAATTTGACAAAAGTTGCTTCAATTTTAGTTTTCTCTTTCCTCTATTATAGAAGGTGGCATATGAGGCTCAGGTTAGGGTAGGAAGGGGGTGGACATGATACGGAAATTTTTGACGGATGTTTAGGCAACACGATCCACCAGATGCTGAAACAGCACCACACGTACCGACGACCAACAATGTCAGTAGTCCTGGATTTTTAAGACACAATCAACTCGGTCGACTGGTCTGATCTCTTTGACGCGCCTGCCACGGAGGTTTGTGAACATAATAATCCCCTTGTATTCCTGGACTTCCGTACATTTGATACTACCAGAAGAGCTCTTGAAAAGCTTCCGTACACAAAGCGGTGTCCCTCAAGAGAACTCACTCTTTTCATTCCCAATTGATTTCATGATCGATGAGCTAATAGGGACGCTGAAAGGTCTCCTGGACCCCGGTCTCCGAATAGCTTCAGACAAAAACATTGATGATTTGAAATATGCAGACGATACCGAAGAGGAGAAGGTAAGGTTGTTTCCGTATAACCTGACCAAAGACATTTCGTCCTTTGGTGTGCGCTTTTGATCCACAAAGGGTCAAGTTATGATCCTGGACATGCAGCCACTGAACACGCCACTTACAATCCAAGAGGAAACACCCAAAGTTGTGCAGCATTTTGCATACTTTGGAAGCTGTATCAGTCCTCACTGTTGCGTATTAGATGAATTTACTGCACGAATCTGCAAGGTTCTGGTCGCGTTTTCCAATTTGAGATACTCACAGTGCCGGAGCGATATCTTCCTAAGTCTCACGGGACGTGTGTATCAGGCTGCAGTATGCACTGTTTCGCTTTACAAGATTTGGTTTGTTCGAACAGCGAAACTGAGTCGTCTTCGGGTGAGTTGGCGTAATCCAGACGGTCAATTTGGACTAAAACTTAAAACCACTGCTAAGGCCTCATGGTCTTGGACAATTAGGATAATTGTCAGGTTCACAAAAAGGCATAAGTGTGAATGATGGAGTGTGGGCATTAGCATGCGGATAAATGGTGGCAGGAATCTCAGAACCATGGTGTACAGTGAAACTGTGGTGACACATTGTGTCATTATTGTAGTGGAGTTGGGTGTAAAAGGTCCTTGAAAGAGTGAATTTGGGAAACACGCAAGCCGGGACGCGAAATGTACAGAAAATTATTGATTTTGTGGAGAGCACAGAGTGAAAGTCCACCGGTATGGTCAAATCCGAACGAAAGGCTCAGCTCACTTGAATGAACGCGCCCCGGGGGTGGCTATGGATAGGTGAGGAGTTTGTTCGTATTTTCAGTTAGTAAATTGGGTGGGCGTTAGAGTAAGAAGGAAAGAGTTGCGGATGTGCCATAAAACAACGTAATGCAGTGCCATGCCATTACTGGCCTGATGTACTTCGGTTTTTGGAGAGTCCGTAACGAACGTCATGGTTTAGGTCATTGGGCTGGGATGTGAAATTCTTTAAACGGCGGGATTTTTCCAGTTGGCTCGCGAGAAATCCGGAGAGGTAGAACTAAGCCGATGTAGGATCAAAGGTATTTTTCTGGTCCTTCTATGGATCCCTGTGGATGCAGATCACAAGCCAGGTGGAGTGGATGACAGCCAAGCAGGTCGTCCAAACCAGGTGTTCGACTGCCATTTTCTTGGAACCATGGCTAGTGTGGGTCGGTGTCGGCAGATCCGTAACGACGCAATTTGGAAGTGAGTTTTTGGTTGTGCATCGGATCTTTCCGTCGAAAGATGTATCCTGCGCCAGAAGCTGCATTGGTCGGGCCATATATTTTTCATGCCGAACCATCGTTTGCAAAAAAGAGTACACTTTTTGTGCTTAATTCAAAATAGCTGGAGCAGAGGTGACCAAACTTCTACCTGACAGAGGAGTATGAACAAGATTACGAAATATTTGGGTGCTGTCGATGTTACTCCTCTTTTCATAATGCGGATCGCATGATCCCCGTTGAGCCTAGCTAGAGACGTCGCAAGATTAGGCTACCAATCGATGTCATCGGTGTTCTTGTCGTCTGTCTCCTTCTAGATTGCATGAGTTAGTGTATGAGGTAAAGTCTGATGAGGTCTGAACCTGTGTGATAGACATGAAATGGAGCATTAGGAGGGCCTGAAATACCAAACAGCTTCCATTATGTTATGCATCTGAAACGTGGACGTTTTTTTCGTATCTGACCGGGTGCTGAAGATCACAAAAGTTTCAGTTTACAAACGCAAGTACATTAGCCGGTCGGTTTCTTAGAAAGGAGCCCATAGTTGTCGAGACTGCTGTGCAGTGGAATGTGGTATAGTTACGAGTTTTGAGGAAAAGGAGGATGAAACTTTCGACTCTATCAAGCTACATGGTATTGGTATCCCAAAGCAGAATGTAAGCGAAGTTACGATTTGGTGCTCTAAATGAGCTGTTTTGGCGCTAAGTGCTCGCCTGCTCACTGGGTCTTCGCTATGGCCGAATCATCGGGTGAACGATAGCGCGTAGTTTTTGGTTCCTAGGGTTAACGACTAAGCACTATGCACCCCTCTACCCTCAATATTTAGTAGGCACTTGGTGAGTTGGCCATTACCATGTTGTTTAATTGTATTTTCATTGATGTTGCGGAAGATATGCACGAGCTGTAGTTGATCATAAACTTTTCCTTTCTAAAGCCTTGTCGAGTGAAAGCAACTTCATGAACGTGAGACCGGGAGTGACTACACAATACGTTTATGCCGATGCAACCAACAAATAGAAGCATAATTCTTTAAGGGCGGTAGCGCGTTCTTCAAGTATAGGTTTGGCAGACGGATGATAGGTATGGATATGAAGGTCGATGGGTTAGGATTTTATGCATGGTTGGGACCTTATAATTGGCTGCGTGAATGGGTACGGGTCCTGGAGTTACTCAGAGTATCCAAGAGGCGCGGCACTGCGTACAGCTTTGGGCAAGAAGGGCCGTCATTGGCCACTGGATTAGGCTGCCGTACATACCCCAGGCCTCATAATCAGCAAATGAAAACGCGCCCATCATTTACAATAAGTAGTCGAGATGAGAGACAACGCGTACGGTTATGAATGTGACGGGCCGTCATTTGCTGTCGGGTTAAGCTATCACACATAGTTGAGGCCCTGTATTCATTGGCCTGCATAGATGCTGGCCTGGTGTTTAGGATGAGTGACGAAGATGAGCTACAGCGCGTACAATTGTGAGTATAATGGGCCGTCATTAGTCAATGGATTGGGCTACCATGAATAAATCAGGCCCCACAATCAGCTAATGTAGCTGACAGCATGCGCAGCTCCCATGATGACCGGGATTGTTTGCCATACTTTGCATCAGTATGGTTGGGCTTTATTATGTATTCCAGTAAATGGACCTGATTACCTCCAAAAGGAGATATATCGTTGGATTAGTAATTCACATGCAGATATCTCAAAGCTGCAATGTCTACTGGCTAGTTGTGTATATCCCGGATTGGGGATATGTGGTGAACATTGACTCTGTTCTATCCATTCTGTTTAGTGTATTTTTATGTCTTTGTTTTACGATGCGATGTATAGTACGCCCGCGATATACGAGAATATACGATTTTCATTCGTCCATATTCGGACTTCTATACTACGCGTACATTCGGTAGTTAAGATACCTACCACTATTCTAATTATCACGGGATAATCCACAGAAATGACACTCGCATCACCACTGTATGGTGCATCAAGTAGTCTTTCTTTGTTATACTGGATGGAGGGTGAGCTCCCGAAGAACTATGTTGTGCCCAGGTTCTCTGAACAGACTCGTTTCATTTGTTAAGCCTGAGTAGTACAAAGTATACAAATGATATTTACCTATTGACCTTGGTAGAATCTGTATTGGATATACTGTAGACGCTTCCCCACCTTTGAAGAACACCGCGGGAGGCTTAAATATGCTGGGTTTCGACTCCGCACTTTATCTCGTAAACTGGTGATAGAATGTAGAACAATGGGGTCGGTGACCTCGACTTGTCGCTCGCTCAAACAAAATTTTCTGATCAACGTACGACCAAACCGTGCCAGTGAATTAGACTAGTTCTGTGTAAAAATTGCAACATCATAAACCGCATCATCATTACAATATCATAGTTTCGGCGAAAAAGACGAAAATAGAGATAGAGGTGAAAAACTCAAAGTAGAGACAAGTGCTTGTCTCGTTACTAATATATTATATTATATATATAATTATATTATTATTATTAACAGCAGTGGTGCCGCTGTTGTAGGAAGGCAGTCTTAAAGTCTATTTTGATGGTCAAATGGTACTGATTCACGGGGCTGAACGAATGCCGTCGATAAAGCCATTGAACTTGTAGAAGGGGAAAACAAAATTTGCAGCGCAAATACGGGGTGGTTACATCCAGACGAAAGGTTCAATGGGTCAAAAAGAACAAATCTCAAAAGCGGTTGCAATTACAGACCCAGGTATGTAAGAGGTGACGATCGAGAGTAGAAAAAAACAGTCGCGGATGTGACATTAGGTTTCCAGTGCCGTGTCATCGTTGCACCGACATACTTCGGTCTCTGGACAACCTTGTAACGGACAGTAGGTTTGCGGCAATTAGAGAGGAGGTGCCCATTTCTGTGACGGCTGTATCTGGGTTAGGCCACGTGGGCGCTAGCCTTGTGTGCTTATAGTGAGAGGTTAGGAATCTCATTATAAATATGCTTTTATGATTTTATGGTGTCCAATCCTGCGAGAAATGGGGATAAGTGCGTGTCATGTCTGTTTGAAGAAGTGGGCTGTGGTGCGGTGCAATTTCAACAATGAAGATGGCTATTGCAGCCGCGAACGTTTACGTAAGCCATGGGCGTCACGCATTGTTACACAAGGCCTGCGACTTTGCCCAAGATTCACGGGACCATTTTGTTCTTGTCCTTCACCCGAGGGCCTCAAATGAAAAAATGATGTAGCACCTCTCTTTAAGTTTTCATTGTGGGGCAGCATGCTTGTCAGCGCGGGAATTCGCATAAAAATTATCTAATAGTATGTTAAACTAGACTGTAGACGCAACGAGGACAACCGTCGGAGGAAGGTTATTCGAAGCAGCAACTATTCGAAATGAAAGTGTAGATCACGAGCTTGAAAATCTTGTCATATCTCTGCCGTACTTGCTGGGTCTATGGTGAAGAACCTTCTGGCCAAATCTCGTTTGAACAGGGCCTAGGTAAGAATGAGGTCTCCTCTGGGGCGATGATACTCCAGAGTAGAGGTCAAGCACCACGGGAAGTGTTTCGTAGTCCACGGATGGCAAATATCTTCGTGGCAGCTCGCTGGACACACTAACTAAGGGTTTCATCCTCCGCGCATCACGAGTAGGCGACTTGGTTGACATATTCAAGTAGAGGTTTGACGTAGGCCCCATACAGTATTGGGAAGTCCAAGCGAGTATTACGGAAGAAGGCGCGCCGACTCATCCGTAGAACAGCGAATGCCCTTTGAGCCGACTGCTCACGGTGCAGTGAGGTCGACATGTTTGAAG